TCCAGTCCGTTGTCATAGTTGCGGTCGAAGAAGTGCGGCTCCGCTCCCACGGCTCTGATGTCTGGATGAACCCGGAGAAACTCCAGCAGAGCCCGGGTCCCTCCTTTCTTCACCCCGATGATGATCGCCTGCGGCAGCTTCTTGCTCCCGGAGCCGTTGGAGAAGCTGGACATGGCGCTTGGCTCCGGGGCTCTCTGCTGCTCGCCCTGCATCTCGTCCCAGTCGTCGGCTCTGTCCGTCTCCAGCTCGTTATTGAGCAGGTCTCTGGACGCAGCGGTCCTGATGGACGGCTCCTCGTAGTCGCTCTCTATATCCTCCCACGGCTGCGGTTTGGCCAGCAGTCTGGACACCAGGTCCGTCCTGCTGCTCTCTGTCCTCTTGCCCACCGCCGAACCAGTCTCCTTGCCCCGGTAACTGTCCACCACCAAACTTGGCATGGTGGAGCAGTAGCCCACGCAGGAGTACAGCATGTATACCCAGATTAAAAACATGATGCTGAGCAGTATTAGTTTCTTTTTCACGGGGCTAGACCAGAGGGCATACAGGCTTTGACACACCAGGCTATATTCCATAAGCCTTTCGGTTGAAAATCATATCCCAGCGGCGCATATTGCCTAACTCAGTCCCGGTGGCACCTCGGCAATCCTCGCAAAATTACGCACATGCTCACCCTAAAACTAAAAATAAATAAAAACGTACAAACAAAAACAAAAAAAACTAATCTAAATATACTCAAAGGGAGTGATATATCCAGAAATGGAGAGGCTTTGAGGAGTTTTTAATCATAGTTGTTGCTATAATTTGGAGAATTGTTGAGCTGCGTCAGGCGCACCGCGGTGCAGCTCCAGGCTCATCTCAGGTTTGTTCAAAGTGCTGCTGGAGCACGAGACCTTATACAGAGACATGCCCGAGAGTGACAGCAGCAGCAACCAATAGCTTCACGGGACATAAATATGCAGCCGTTTGTTGATAGGAGCGGACCAATCAGGGAGAGGCGCAGGCGGTCCCGGCCGTGGGAGCCTCAGTATGGAGATGGAGCGTGTGTGCCGGACTCTGCTGAGAGTTTGGAAAACTTTCTTATTGGGCATAGAGTCCAATTAAGTCTTGTTTCTCGTGTTCCTGGTCCAGGACATATTGTTCAAATGAGTTCAGGCGACTTTGAATGTTTCCTTCAGGTTTATTCTGACATTGCAGCCACTTTGTGCCAGTTTTCTGATTGTACATTAAACCAACAAAAATAATAAAAACTCCAGTTTCATTATGAGTTTTGAAAACGAGTTAGGAAAAAAATAATACTAACAGGCTTAAATAACCGATGTAAGCCTCAACACAGACTTTGAAATGAGATAGTTTGACTTTACTCCTGACACTGATTGAAAAGCAGTGCAGAGGTCACATGCTGTCAGTTCACGCTCTTATATTTATAATATTAAACGGGGGAAAAAACAAACTCAAACAGATATTAATTTACAAATTGACTTTGTTTTAATTAGATAATTAATTATGCAATTACTCATTATTAATTCTGCGCACACGGTCATTGTTAATCTGGACAATTACGCCTGGAGAAACTGCGATAATAATAAAAATAATAATAATGTACACATATGATTTCATAACATTTATGGCAAAAGAAATAAAAACAAGAAGTAATCACACTGCTTTTTTTTCTTTGTTTTTTCCGTTTCCCCCCCCCCATAACCTGTGTGTTAATTGGACGTCTTTGCCCATTATAAATATGTTTCTTTACCTCTCCAGCCTGTTTTTACGCAATTCTACAAACAGCTAAAATTCAAGAGACTGCGTATTGTAAAGCTGAAATGACTTATTCAACAGGTTTTCTGTCCGGTGCCGTGCTCCTGTGCACAGCGAGCTCTCTACTTCCTAAGGCATCATTATTATTATTAATAATAATGGAAGAATTATCTCCCATGGCTTCGTTGTTTCACTGATGCCTTATCTGTGGCATAAAGGTCTATTTCTAAACTTGTGAAGTATCCTCAAAAGGCAGAAAAGTAGCAGGAAAAGGTAATTAATTAACAGCCTACATTTATTAATCGTTTTTCCCTTCTTAAAAAAACTTGAGGCTATTTTTACCTCGAAATATACGACATTAATCACAGCGAGAGAGTGTGCGTAATAATGGAAAAACTCATACATATGGACCACAATTAATTCAAATCCCTTTTATTAATTTTTTTCTTTTTACATAATTCAGTCATCTTCCAAACACAGGCTACACACACATTTTTAAACATCTGAGAGCACTTGGGGAGCCCTCTGAATAAGAAACTCAACATTGGGAATATGCACTTAATTTCCAATTCAGAGAAGAAAAAAGAAAAGAAACTTGCAGCGAATATTTTTCATCTGAGACTGGAGATGAGTCAAAACAGATCTGTAATTTTAAACCCCGGGAACTTCAGCCGCGTATGGAAGAGTCCCACTGACAGACTATTTTTCATGTTTTAAAACGAACGAACAGATTCAACTAAACTTCTACTTAGATGTGTTTTTTTATTATATGTGTTTCTTTTCTAGTTTTGGCTGCAGTTAACGTGGCCAAGGACACGCCGAAATAACGGCCTGAGTCATTATAAAACACTAAATGAAGACATAATCTGACCGAAACGCAGTCAAAGTGCCATGCGTAAAAACAAGTATTTTAAGAGGAGATTTGTCTGTTTGTGCGTCATGTATTAATGTCTATTTATCCTCATGAGAAGTCCCCAGCAGAGAGACCTGTTGGTTGTGACTGTGTCCAATAGTTTATCACACCGAATGGTATTTTCTTCCAAGGAATCAAAGTCTAAAAATCTATCATTCCTACACGGACTTAAATGGATAGTTTTACAGTGCTGGTTGTATAGTTTCAGTCTAAATATTGCTTTAGGATCACTGCAGCTCTTTGGGTTCTATTTTGCAGCAACCTTTGAAGAGAGGCCAGAGGTCATCCGTCATCCTGAGATTTCATTGCTGGGTTTTGAAGAATCCTGGAATCCGAGCTGTTGTACAGTGTTCCCCCCCCCCTTTCTGATGTGAGACTCAGAGTGGATGTTAAAGCTGCAGCACTGGGGTTCACTGCATATTGCTGTTTGGGGACTCTCTCCTGTTTACAGATGCATATTTTGCTCTTCAGTTTGTTGACTCTGGCGTCAGAGCTCAGACTCACACTGAACAAATAACACGAGTGATTTAATGAGTGATATCAGCAATGGGAAAGAGAGAGACCTCCGTGTTTTTATGCATAGAAAGAAGTGAAATAAAGGGGGAAGAGTATGAAATATTGTTTCCTTGTGAAATAAAAACACATAAGACTTTTTGAAGTATTTCTTCAATATACATGAGAGCAAATGTGACAAATCTGAAGTACAAAAATGTCTAAAGATTTAGTAACTGCTCTTTTATGTAAAGTGATATATAGTGCACAATTTGACCTTATGGTCAAATTTGCATGATTTATCAAGTTACCAAGTAATTAAAAATACTAATAATATACTAAAATCACCTCCAGACATCTTCTGAGATATATAAAAAAATACTCTGCTATGATTAATAATGTGTCTGATATGATTACCCCAGAAAAAAAAAATCTACTTACCTCATTAAAAATTATTAAAGTGACATCTACTCCTTCTCCTTCACTGAAAAACCAATAATCTATGAATATGCAAATAGTTATTTCTAAAGTTTAATTACTGTACACAAGAAGCTCCTACTAGTCCAGTCTCGGTGTATGTGCACCGGAGGGTTCAAGTTTTCACATCACATGGTCACATATAGGACCATGAATAGCAGATGCGATGTCACAAAATCCTGATCAGATGTATTGTATACGCCATTAACTCTTTTAATGTTGCTATTTAAAGGTGGAACTTTCCCCCCTGCAGGAGGTGAAATTGCAAACTCTGCAAAGGAAACTCAAACATCCAAGTGAAGTTACGAAAAGCAAAACGCATACTGGAGTTGGGCCTCCAAAACCCCCACTATAGGTGCATTTAAAGTTCCTAAAGATTTTGAACAGTTTTTGCGGATAAAACCCAAGATTTTTCTGAGTTATGATAATTTAAAGGATGAATTTACCTTTCACCAGAACAGCAGCTCAGAGACATTTCTCTTGTGTAATCGGAAGAAGAATGCCTCTATAGGTTGTGGCTTAATAAATCAAGCAACAGTTGAAAGCTCAGCTACAGGCCTAATGCAGAACACTAAATATAACTCATATGCTCGACCATCACAAGTAGAAGGAACACCAAAAGTGAATAACTCCAGAAATATAGAAAGGGACAGGACAAGACAGCACCAGAGTCACCGCTCCGCCTCTATCGGAGCGGATGTTGTAAACCATGACAGGCCATCACACTGATCCCTGGAGGTTGGCTACGACATTCAATCTCC